AGTAACAAAATTCAGTCCATCACCAAAATACGGAATGTCAGCAGCCATAAACTATATATAAAAAAATAAAAACAAGATGAACTAAAAAAGAAATAAATTAATCAGGCACAGTCCCCGGTAATGGTGCAAAAAATTGACCGGTGTCGAGCCTGTGTAATAATAATTATCTACTCAAGAAAAATACAAATTTTGTATATAGCAGTGAGTATGGTCGAATCCATAGGGATTGGGGATAATTCGTTTCTTCCAGAATCTGAAGTATGGGGGATTTTTAGAGAATATAAAATAACTAATTAACTTACTAATAGAAATTAACAAGAATTAATCAATAACCAATACGACTCTAACCAAATGTGCAACTTTTCAAACACGGTCCATTCAACTGATCATCAATACAAAGGTAATTCAATTACTCATTAATAGATTGGTTATAGTTGTCATACACGCGATAAACAACCAGCATTTCCTTACTTTTTTGATAGTCAATGTACGACCATTAACTATTTCTCTAACCAAGAAATAACCCTAGGTACGACCATAGGATTTAATTTTTCAATTGCAATAAGAATTAGAAAAGTCTAACTCTAATCAACAAATACGTCACGCGGGTTCGTTGAAGTTAGATCATACGTTTCCCTAACATGAAACCAATCACTCTAGTTGCCACTGGTATTAATCAATTGAAGAATTACGGATTCAATCAATTATCTGACAATGATTATTAGTTAATTCGAATATCGAGCCCTTAATATTCAAATAACAAAACAATCATAAGAAGTTAAACTCGAAAATGTACACAATACCAATGAATAAAAGAAATAAGTAAAATAATTCAAACTCACAGATATTTGGAATCGAGTTTTCAAATTGACTTTCGACTAGATGAGGAATTTAGCCACGTCTCATAGAGAAATTTCCACGCTAATTAGTAGAATTCATGAACATCAAGCTTTGTTCTTCAAACAATCTAATATGTTTCACGCAAGAAGAGTAAAGGCACGAAGGAGGAATTATCTCCTGTCTTGCGGCCTCGGGACTGTGACGGCCCCACCTCTCCCTAAGGCGAACCAGAGGGTTGGCAGCCGTCTGCCTAACTCTCGCCAGGACTCACGCAAGCACACTAACCCAAAATCTTCCGAAGATTTAACCTCTGCTATTACAATAGCAAATCTTCCAAAATAAATCGATTACTAATACCACATTAACTTCAAAGATAACAGCATCTGAAGTTAGCCAATCGACGGCTCTTAAACACTTCACGCGCTACTTACAAGGATTAAAGCCATACCACACCAATACAAACATATATACCAAATATCAGAATTAGGGATTACACCTTTCCAGCTTCAAGTAGCAATTCAAAATAAAAGATACAAGGTCAATCCGAAATAAAATTTACACAAATGAATAGGTAAGCTTCAAGTCTCTCGATTTCCAAGACCTGTTAAAGAAAAACAAATATCGTGTGGTGAGCTAAAGCTCAGTGGTGCCCAAAACATGCAACCAAATCAATTACTTAGCAAATAGTAATTTCAACTTAAATTCAGCAAGTAGGAAAGCGTGTAACAGCATGGGGTAGGATACATGGGCTCTCAGGAGCCATTTTCCTTGCGCTTGATTAAAATTACCCGCAGTTGACCCTCCATCAACTTTCACTATCTAAAGTCCATGTAGATTCATTATTATTTTTTATTTATAGACTAGTCGAGGGATTCACCCAACGACGTTGCGTCCAGCATGAGGTTATTATAGACTAGTCGAGGGATTCACCCAGTGACGTTGCGTCCAGCATGAGGTTATTATAGACTAGTCGAGGGATTCACCCAGCGACGTTGCGTCTAGCAAGAGATTAGTATAGACTGGTCGAGGATGTCACCCAGCGCGTTCCTGCGTCTAGCAAAGCAGATTAGTATAGACCTGGTCGAGGGATTCACCCAGCGACGGTTTGCGTTCTAACAAGAGATTAGTATAAGCAGGATCATTCACGAAAACAATTCAAGCCAAGTCACCACTCGAACGGCTAGTGCGATAAAGTACACACAGATCACTTCGATGGATCAGAAACCAATTTTTCAAATTATCACATATCAAGTCAAGAAGGTACTTTAAGCAGGTAAGCATAGAACAGGCAGGGACACTCACCAAGAGTGGAGTTCAGATGTCAAGTTGGGAATCGAATTCCGCGTCCTCGAAAAATCCTAAAAACAAATTTTGAAACTATAAGTTTCTACTCAGTTTTTCAGCTTATAGACATTGAGGTATATCTAATATACTACTAGTTTACTTTCCCTTAGAAAAATCAAGAGTCCCTTAGCTTAAAACTTGACAAGAGCAGAAGAAATGTTCCCTATAGTTTTCCTTGAGTTACTTTTTCTTATAAAAAGGGTAACTAGTATTATTTTCTTGAAATAAGTCGACAATCACTTGATATCGAAGTTCGATGGTTAATTTGTCAAATTTCTTTAAAATAAATTGGCAAGCTATTTAGCATCAAGGCTAGGAAAATACCTTGAAAATTTCCTCTAATCTCTGATCTTACAAAAATAGTTGCTAAGGCTATAAATTAAAGTTTCTTGTAAAATGTTACTAGAGTTATTTTGCTAAAAAAAAAAATATACGGTTTTCTTGCCGAGCAAGTTTCCGCGTTTATAATTAAGGTGACTTAAAGCTCGCCTTTTAAATTTTCCTTATGTACAACTAGACTTGAAAAATTTATAAGAAAGAAAGAATTTAAGCAAAACTAAGGTTTTATATCTAGAAAAGTCATTTTCTTAAATTAATAAAGCTAATTTAACTCAGGGAAGAAGATTCACGTTGCCCCAGTTTAATGCAAAAATACTAAATACTAGATTTTATCGGGCGATATTAAAACTATGTCGTGCAAAACTAGAGCAAAAATATTTTTCATTTACTTAGTCAAGTATTTGCTTGGATTCACCGGATCAGCGCTAATATCCATAGTTTCGATTCCCATCAGAGTTCACAATTTTCTCAAGGTTGCGCAATCCCATTTTATACAATAATAACACCAGGGCTTCTTCAAATATTATCACTGTGTTCCAACAAATTTATACTCCGAGCACACGCAGGAAAATTAACCAAGGCTTAGTCAAAACTTAGCACTTGGTATGCAGCACTTATACCAACTCACAGCTTCACCAAATAGTGGTACAGCTTTCTAAGCAATTCCAACAATTCAACCATAACTCCAAGTGTGGGAATTCATAGAGCCCACTGTCAACAATTTCAACACATTATGCTTCAATGAAAAAGAAAAAAAAATAATTTCAACCATTAGCTTTGCAGTCATTGGAATACGAGTAGAAATTGTTTCACTAGCCAAGCTTAAGCATACGTTTAGCAAGTACCTTCTTACCATCTAATTCTTTGAAAATTTCAGGAACACAATAGGGTCGAACCACAATCATTAACATCAACATTTTCCATGCGTTTCCAAGAATAAATTCCAACAATAGCTTGAAATTTCAGGAGATAAATGGAAAGAAAATTTCTTGCTCCACTTAGCAAAATTTTTCAGTTTAAGGTCTGCATTTTCCAGATGAAGCCCACGGCTCATTCACATTTTATTACACCAGAATTTTCCCAAATTTTATTCCCTCATCCGATTGCAAAACTCAACATGCAAAGCCTTAAACATTAAATTTTAACTTTGCTAATCATCGTTGAAGCCTCAGATTGTCACACAACAGCAGATTCAAGCTGCATTATCAAGAACAAGCTCTCGGCAGAAATTTTCCTTTCTTAAAACAGAATCTTGTTTTCAAAAATCATCATCCGATGGTTTTAAATCAGCATGCACAGCTTTAAACAATTCAATTGGTTAGTGATTAGTCTTTTAATCCACAATGCAAGCTCAGGTTACCGGAATCAACAAGTTCCTAGCCACATTATCGAATCAGTTTTTCGGTTAAGCACGGCTACACACAACAGAAATTTTTCTGCTTTTCTAGATCATCAACCAACACCCAAATTCAACATGCAAGTCGCTTATAAGCTTCATCAACCTCTAATCAGTTCAATCTAATTCAGGGTTACCTCAAATCGACTCAGTTCGCACACGAAAATCCGGAAAAGTCTTTCTGCTCTCTCTCTCTCTCTCTCTCTCTCTCTCGGCTTCACGCGCAGGTCGGGTTCCAGTTTGGGTTGTCTTGGCTGAGCAGATGGTGGAGCTGTGGTGGTTGTTGCGGCTGGGAAACTGGGTGCAGCCGGTGGAAGTGGAAGCTGAATGGAGGGGTTCACTCACGGCTTCCCTTATGTCCCTCGACCTTACGGACAACAGCAGGAAAGAAAAATTGTAGCAGCTCTCAGATGGCTGGTGCGAAGTGAAGAGAGTGAAGTGAAGTGCGGTGGTTTGGAGTGCAGAGGTGAAGAGAAAGAATGAAGGTGGAGTCGCGGTTTGTGGAGAGGAATGGTTTACGGTTGCGTGTTAGGATTTGTTGAGTGTGAAGTTGGATAAGTTGCTGATTGGCCGAGTGGAGAGGTGAGGAAATCATAGTGTCGGAGGAGTTGTTTGGCCGTGCATGTAATGGTTGTGATGTAGTGGGGATTTTGTGGAATTGTGAAGGGCATTTTGGTCTTTTCACTTTGCTCCCTAACCTCAACTTAATTTCTCAATTCTAACTTAATTCCAAAAATTATCCCCAAGCGTGATTTGAACGCCTAATAATATACTAATCTCGCAAAGATTCGATTATCAAGATTTTAACCTCCTAAGTGTACCCAATGTACTTGTAACGGTTTATCAAAAATATATCGATTCATCTTAATTCTAAGGTTCCTATTAACACTTAACATTCTTATTTTATTATTAAAATTATTAAAATTATTAAAATTATTAAAATCAAGTTTGACCTTAATATATAAATTTAACATTCTTAATATTCGTTTATCCTTTTATATCAAAACTTATTAACTTAATCATTATTAACGCTTAAGATTAGCTATCGGAATTCAAAGAAATTTAATTGTTAAATCAATGAAATAATTTACCTTCGAAATATGAATTTAATGTAACAAAACTAGGAAATTTAATAGTTTAGCACAATTCTTTTTATTTTGCACAAAAATTTATTTCTACGCACTTATTTAAAAACAATTAGATTTAATGCTAAAATTTATTTAAGCATTAAGAATGCAAATGAAATATGCACTGATATCTATATATGTATATTTTCAGGGTTCTCACATCCTCCCCTCCTTAAAATGAATTTTGTCCTCAAAATTCTCACCTTCTTGCATTTTCGGGCAACCGGCAATTTGGTGCTCGCTACTTCCACACCTCAAGCACTTTCCTCCCTTTTTCCAGCATTCGTTCTCAATATGACCAGCCCTCCTGCAATACCCACAAGTTACCTGAGAGGTGGTCACACGGCCTCCTTGTGGGGCGTTCCTAGGTTGGTTCCTTCCACTTGGTCCTCCGTTAGCTCCATTAGCTCTTTCCCCGGCACCTCTGGTCCCAGCTCCTCTCGCTAGAGCGCCTCGTGGTGCTCCATGATTATTTACTCCACCCGTTCCTCGACCCACTTTGGCCGGTGGAGCATTTGCATAAGTCAGCTCCCGACTGCTGCTAGGTGCAAATCTTTTCTTGGCCAGGAAAGTTTTTACTTGAGCTCTGGCAACTTCAACCCTTTGAGCTCTCTCTATAGCATCAGCAAATGTGTCTATTCGAACAGCAGCCAATCCCTCCTGAATTTCCACGTTCAGTCCCTGCACAAACCTCCTTACACGCCTTTGCTCCGTAGCTACCAATTCCGGAGCATAACGGGATAATTTCGTGAATTGAATCTCATATTCTGCGACACTCATCGCCCCCTGCCTACACTTAATGAAATCATCCTCTCTTTTCTCTTGGATGAGAGGAGGAAGAAATTTGGCGTTGAATTCCCTTGTGAAGTTCGCCCAGGTCCTAGGAATATGATTCCTGTCCCAATTGACCCTAATTAGGTTCCACCAGGAACGAGCAGCTCCCTCAAACTGGAATGCTGCGAAAGTCACTTGCCTCTCTTCCGGATAATTTAGGGCGGCAAAAATATCAGAGATCCTCTCCCACCAACCTTCGGCTACCTCAGGTTCTGGCCCTCCGTAGAACTTAGGAGGTCCAAACTTCAGGAATCTCTCTAATGCCCGATCCTCAGAATCGATTGGGCCTCCTTGCTGATGCACCGCTCCATGAGCTTAGTGCTCAGTCATGCGCTCTAACACATCAGTTATTCTATTGATTGCGGTGGCCACGGAATCTCCGGCCACGTTTCCCTGACCATGGTCTGGGTTGACCTCAGGTTCCCTATCACCACTACCCTCGGGGTGTTGCCTAGTTGGTCTCCCACGTCCTCTACCTCTAACTTGGAGATCCATAGCCTAGTTATGCCTATTATTGGAAAATAAGGCATTTAGGCGAGAATAGAAACATTTATTATATTATTATTCTTTTTGTAAGTAAAATCAATATGAGAATTGAGAAAAAGGAGAGTTAATTAGTCATGTAACTTATTCAAATATATCATGTATTCAAATTGCTCAAATCACAATATTCCTATCTTATTTTTATTCGATTCATATATATATATATTACACTATTCTAGGATATTTCTAAATTCTCAAGATTTTTTTTTTCAACATTATAACAAAGTAGATGTGTAATCATCAAATTTCATACACACAATATGAGTCACATTGCATACCAATTTCGTACAACTTCAAGAGCCAAACAATTCACGAATACATTCAATATTTTCATACATAACTCAAACTTCAATCTTTATAAGCATGAAAGAAAACAATACAATATTACACAAATTATTGTAACCACATAGCTAATAGCTCAACCCTTAGTTTAGATTCAACTTAACCTTAGTGGATTGTAGACCTACCACGTCTAATATTAAATTTAATAACATGATCATTACTTAAGTACATCAATAGCTCTTAAGTATTCTAAATGATCTCAAACATTTCATACATTGGCTTTTCTAATAACCTAACAACTAGTTATCTTTATCCTGTTGGACATTAGCCCCAAATAATCCTCCAATAAAACTTAAGAAGCCACAATGTTATCAAGAACTCACCTCACATGGCAAATTCATCTCAAAAACAGAATTGGCACTAATCTTCAAGGTCTCACTATTGGCTCTTCACCTTTAACTTTCAAAAGCTAGACTTGGTCCTTTCATTTCATTTTTCCAAAATTAATCATGCCTTCTAGTCACATCATAATGAATATACTAAATTCTTCCCAATCTGTAAATATACCATTGAATGAAATATCTGGTATTCGGGTACAGGAATCCGACAATAGGATAATTCACACCTCAGGCTGGCCAGTCCCAAGAGTAACTTACCTACATCTGAGATTCCTACCCAACATACATATCTAATATCCCCAACTATAGACTTTTGTTCCACACTTAATGAGCCAATCCCCACAGTCCGAGAATCCTCTCCCGGCACGAGCTCGATAGGAGCTCTGATACCACCTGTGGCGACCCCACTTCCCCCTAAGGCGAACCAGAGGGTTGGCGGGCCGTCTGCCTAGCTCTCGCCAGGACTCACACAAGCAAACTAATCCAAATCCTTTCGAAGAATATCCTAAACTATTACAATATCACTTTTCTCCAAAATTGATCAACAACTAAACCACATTAACTTCAAAGATAACAGCAGATTTAAATAGCCAATCGACGGCTCTTAAACGTCTCACGCG